AAATAAAAAAATTTATGATGTCGCTATGAATGGGAATAGAAAATAATTAGTTTGTAGTAAGGGTGCAACTTAGGTTGGACAACTCGATTTCAACTTGAGTCCAATCCAAAAAAATTAGGGTTTGGACAAGGATTTTTCATACTTGGGTCAAAAAAACCTCAACTCGAATTCAATTTGAGCAGGCCTTAAGTTGACCCCTCAGGTTCACGGGTTGAACCTGAATATTAAAATCGGGGTTAACCCGAATTAATAATCAGTTTCAACCCGAATTACTGTTATATAAATACAATTTTTGGATGTTATGTAATATATTTGAATGTTATGTTTATGTTCTATTAAATTATGTATTATATTTGTGTTATATTTGAAGTTGTTGTTTGTTAAATTATTTGAATCTTATGTAATATATGTATCAGGTTAAGAATATTAACCCAAAATTAGTCCGTAAAGTAATCCGAAATCAGCCAAAAATTATTAACCCAAATTCAACCCTAGCCCGCCCGAATTAAACTAGGACCGTGCTTTGGTTTAGTTTATCAAATCGAGGTACAGTTTGAGTTGAAGATTATATACCTAGGGTTTGGGTAGGGTTGACTGTCCAACCCATCCAACCTGCCCGAGTTGCACCTCTAGATTGTAGGTTTAAGATAGAAATTTTAATTGAGTCGAACTTAAATTCAATTTTCGATTTGACGTGATTATAATTAAAACTCAAATTAAACTGAATTTGACTGTCGAGTATAAAGTATAAATTATTACTTAAACTTAAATTCGATTAAATTTTACAAATATTCAAGTTGGACTCAAATGGAAATTGATCTTAATTTATCAACAATTTTTTTCACATTTACGAGAATTCGCGTGAAACTTTTGGATGATTTACTCACAAAAAGTTATACGAACTCACATTGAAAAAATGGTGTAGAAATAATGTTATAAACATTAGGTAAAAAACCGTAGAAAAATTAATAGTTATATTTTTTGAAATTTGAGAAAAAATTTATTAGAAATGTTAAAATCGTGGATGTTTGATCAATAATAATTATATTTTCTCAGATATCGGAATTAATATGTTGCAGTAATTGTAGCGTGACTTTCGTCATATAAAAGTTTGATTATATATGTTCAGTATACTGATTGAATAATGTCAATTTGATCATTGTATTTTTGAAATTATATTATACATTATCTTTATTTATGAACAAATATTTACATTTTTTTATGAGTAACGTAGTGTCTTTAGTCACAAGTAATTACTAGTATACCTATATAATAGTTACTCGAAAATCTGTTGTTATTGACAGAGGGTACTTAATCGATAAATAATTTTCAGGCGATTGTTAGTGATCAATTTAATTGTCATATTTCAGGACTTAATTGGATGACATTTAAAGTGATAAACGCACAAAACTGTGAAGTAATAAAAGAGAATCATTTATTAATCCAATAGAAAGATAGAATTAACAGTCTTGATTACAACAGTAACTATTTTCTATAATTAACTTAACACTATTTTTAAAAATGTCTAGATTGAAAAAAAAAATGTCAAGATCGTGAGTTTTGTAGGGGTTTGAATTTATCTTTCAATTTTTTCCTTATTTGCTTTTTATAATCACTATCTTCGACGGTTTTGTATCTACCGACAATTATTTGACTTTTAACTCCCAGTCAGTTATGTTATTTTCAAATAAGGTTGTGGCCGATCATTTCTCATTTTTTTTTTTTCAGATTCTANTGTCTCTACCGACAATTATTTGACTTTTAACTCCCAGTCAGTTATGTTATTTTCAAATAAGGTTGTGGCCGATCATTTCTCATTTTTTTTTTCAGATTCTGCCACGTGATCTCCTCTTAATGCTTTCAAATTCGCCAGCTGCCGTTGCACGAATATTTTGATAAATTTATATTTTTGGTCCAAACAATAATTAATCATTTTCACATCATGTTGAATTTGTGTTATGTACAAGTCGTATTTTTGTTGGTAAAATGAATGGCTAAATACAATCAGTTATTATTTGAGTCGGTTTGAATTTCTAAGTTTGTACTATGCTTAACTGATTTTGTGTCGACTTATTTACTAAATTCAATGGGTCTAACAAGTTAACACTTATGTATGATCCCGATCTAGTAAAAATAATCTAATATCTGCCATGTTCATGTTGGGCTTGAGATTTTTTTGGGGGGTCAGATGGGTGTGAGAATTACTAGCCATAATAATCAACATCAAGNATGTATGATCCCGATCTAGTAAAAATAATCTAATATCTGCCATGTTCATGTTGGGCTTGAGATTTTTTTTGGGGGTCAGATGGGTGTGAGAATTACTAGCCTTAATAATCAACATCAAGCTATACCAAATCTTATAATGGGCTTGTTTGGAGCTACCTTAAAATTTCAGTTTTTTTTTGTTTTTGTTTTAGAAGAAAAGAAGTCTAGTCCGTTTGAACTTGAGCTTATTGGACGGCTTTTTTTTTTATCAGTTTTTGAATGAAAACAACTTTTATTAGCACAAAAAAAAAAAACAACTAAAAAACGAGGCTTACCGAAGGACTTTCAATAAATAACTAGCTTTTTCAGAAGCACACCCAAACCACTTTATTTTATTTTATTTTTTTAACCTATGTTTCGCACCCAAACAAGTCAGTTTCAAGTCGGCCTAATGTAAAGTCTGAGAAGCTCTAAACTCTCTTTCTTGTCCACTTTCATAGTGGATGATCCATCAGAGGGATAGTGGCCCGGCCCTTAACCTGTCGAATGTATTTCAATACAACTGGGTTAGTAACAAAATTCTCCAAATTTGTTTTCCAATACTTTTGCATAATTCTCCCAATTCTTCCATCAAAGGGAAAATCCAAATTCATTTCATAAAATATTTTCACATGGTACTTTATTTTTGTGTTATTTTAAGTACAATCTCCGATTAATCTAAGATTATACTTGAATCTAAATTTTATCGATCGTAGTTTGTACTTAAATGTGAATGACTCGGCTATTTGAATAAACACATTTTGCTTAACGTAGAGCCTCAACTTATAGACTGTATATTTCAAAGACATTCAGATTTTTTTTCCTGTAATGAACAAATTGAGCACGACAATAGTTTATTTATCCTTTCTTTGAACAAGTAAAATTTTTAGAATCCGATTATTTCCCAAATTTCTGTTTTTCACAACTTAGGTCGTAGCTCCATCCGTTTTAACAAAGTTTTAAGCCCAATCTATTTAGGAAATGAGCCTGCCAGACAAAATAATCTAAGATAATTTAGAAATCGGTACAAAAATTTGAATTTAATTGAGATAAACTATATTAAGAAAACTTATTTGNTCTAAGATAATTTAGAAATCGGTACAAAAATTTGAATTTAATTGAGATAAACTATATTAAGAAAACTTATTTGACCTCTTGAAAAAAGACAAAAAAAGTCAATTATTATTTCATTATTGTCTCACTCTCTCTCTCCCCCGTTATTCTCTCACTCTTTTTTTTCCTATTTTCTCTTTATCTATCTATCTCTCACATTGATAATTTATTGTTTTTCAAATATATAAAAATTTGATTTAATTTTTTATCTCTCTCTCCTAGTTTCTCTCTCTCTTCCTCTATTTTCTCTCACTGTTGTTATTTCTCTCTCTCTCTCTCTTCTTATATCAACATTACAAAAATATAATTACACCAATTACACCAATCAGTTACATTAATAGTTACAATTACCCTATAATACACAAAATAATTATTCATATGTTCTAATAAACTAAACATTTACAATAACAATTACACGAAATTACAACATTAACTCAATTTGTCATTTAGTTATTCACATAAACCAAACAGTTACACTATTTAGTACCACAACATATTTACACAAATTATGTAAGCCAAATTGGGTTTATCATTACACAAAAGATTTTACCATTATACCAAATTTGGTGAATCTAATTAGTGTAACCATGTTGTGATACTAAATGGTGCAACTATTTGATTTTTGTAAACAACTGAATGACAAATTAAGTTGATATCATAATTTTGTGTAATTATTTGGTGAAATTTTTTGGTTTATTAGAACATATGAATAATCGTTTGGTATATTATAATACAATTGTATCTAATTAGTGTAATTGTGTTGTTGTAATGCTGATATAAAGAGAGAGAGAGAGAGAGAATAGGGGGAGAGAGTAACGGTGAAAAAAATAAGGGAGAGAGAGAGAGAGAGAAAATAGGGGAGAGAGATGAAAAATCAAATCAAATATTTACATATTTGAAAAAAAAAATTATTAATGGGAGATAGAGATAGAGAAAATAAGGGAGAGTAATGAGAGAGAGAGAGAGAGATGAAGAGAAAATAGGGGAGAGAGAGAGATGGAGAGATTATGCAAAATTTAAGAAAGGATAAATATGTAAAAAAAATTCAAATGTCATTTGAATTTTGTACTCAATCACAAGATGTTTTAATAAAATGAAATTAATAAAGTAAAATACTTATCTATCCACCTCCTCTCAAATAAGAATAAAAAAAAATATACTCACACCCAAAAAAAATCCAATAATTTTTTCACTAAAAATATGAAGCTAAGACTAAAGTCTCTTGCATCCATAGTTATTATAACTGGCCTGGACCGATCAGTCAACCCGGTAACTTGTCAAACCGGTGCCTTAGATGGGCCGATTAGTCTTTTGGATCATTTAAACTTCGTATCACCTAATATTCTGAAACATAGAGAATTTAGGGCAAAACTTGAATTTAGGACAAATGGTAGCACCAAAGTAGCTTGACTGATCCAACAATTTTGTTTGTTCGGTGCATCATTGGGTGCCAATTTGCCATGGGGTTTTGGACTCTGATCCTCATTGCTTTAGATTCTAACACTCTGATATGGGTTTCACACACTTCATTAGCATTCTCCAATATGTCCACAATTCTGTATCTATGCAGATACTGATTCTTATTGTACAAATCAAGATATTAACATGGTTTCATCAGAAAATGTACTGAAGTTTGCAATTCACTCTGGATAGGCTTCGATGATGGATGGAAAGGCCGGAATTTTGATGACCTTGTAGCGCGGGAAGCCTCCATCCTCCAGCAACCTCTTCCATTCGGGTTCAGTCCTTTCTTTTCCGCCCGAGCTGTGAGCAATCATCAGAAGATCAAACACCAAACCAGTGTTGTCAAACAGGCCATCACCTTCTGGATTCAAAACCACATCTATAATGATCACTTTCCCGGTCTTCTCTGGTACTGCTTTTCGACAGTTTTTCAATATCTTGACACAATCCTCGTCGCTCCAGTCGTGCATTATCCACTGCATTGTTGAATTCAAAAAGTGTTGCAGTGTTGGACTTAAAATATTAATCGTGTGCATGTTTTTGATATAAGCAGGAGATAGAAAATTCTTTTAGGGTGGACACTTTAATAAGTTATATGATGCATTTATATTTTATTATATTATATTTGATATGTAAAAATTCAATAAACACAAAAGAGCCAAAAATCAAAATACATCGTGTATATTAACAAAGAATAACAAAAAAGACTAATTATAACCTTTTGCCTGAGATAATTCCTGTAATAGTTTAAGATAGCGATCTCCAAACTGGCGAACCTAAAACAACAGGGTCAGAAAAAAGGGGGTCAGGTGAGCACCCGGTTTATCCCTTCTAAAGCTTAAATCAGTTTAAGGTCGAAGGGTTTAGTTCAATGAACAATCTTTTTCTAGTTCAAGTTTGTGTATCTTTGTCCATTTTTCTGAAGAGTATTTATACCTGAATTAACAATGATTGCCAAAGATCTCTAGTCCCATCCAGATATCTTACATCTGACACACCATTCCTCGTGCAATGAGTATTTTTTACTCACGTCTCCTCATATTAAATACTAGGAAGATGGGATAAATGTTCAGTCAAATGCCGAGCATTTATGCCCCTCCCCCGAGTACCCAAATCCCCCAAATCGGCATCTGACATCAACTGAGCATTGAATACTCGGGGGAACAGTTCCTCGGGGGGAGCCGATCATGTCATCTCGGCGTATCAGCCATTAATGGTTAGCCATCATGACAGTAGGCCTAGACTCCTAGAGTGTAGGTGTTTGCAGGCGCGCATTTTTTTATCTTGTCACTATCACTCATTCCGTCATAAATGAGGGGTCACATCACATTAAATACGATGTCAACTGTCGTACTCGGATGCTCCGTGTCGTCATACCTCGGCTTACCTCCTCGGTGCCCTTTGGACATCCCAAGGTGCGCATTAATTTGTCTTATCACTATCACTCATTCTGTCATAAATGATGGGTCACATCACATTAAATACGATGCCAGCTGTCGTACTCGTCTGCTCCGTGTCGCCATGCATCGACTTACCTCCTTGGCGCCCTTTGGACATCCCAACGGCTTCATTATTCCACGTGTCAACCTAGGGGCCGTAGAGCCACCTAGAGTCCTGCCAATTGCCCCTAGTCGTCATCCTTTTCGCAGTGTAAGACAAGTCGCGTAAAGAGATTGGGGGCTCAATCATCACGCCTTATTAATAGCGACTGTTAATTGCACGTCTGGCACCGCCTTTTTCAAATGCCCTAATGATGACCCAACTTTTTGATTCCCGTTCCTTGTAAGGCAGTATAAATACAAGGTATTCATGCCTTCTCAGAACTTTTGCATTCTCAGCCTCTTTTCAACAATTAGACCCTGAACACTCCTTTGTTCTCCTCCAAGTTTTCTTTATTTTTCGAGCTCCCTTTTTGAAGACCACCTTCTTGTAAGTACTTTCACTTGAGCTTTTTCTTTCTTTATTTCCTCTATATTTTGTCCTTTTAGCACCCTCCAATGGCCAAAACTAGTAGAACTAGGGGGGAGACATCCGTTAGGGCTAGGACTACCCATAAGATGAGGAGAACCCAAGTGACTGATGAGAATATCCAAGCTTTTAGGGTTAGGTACTACATCCATGAACCTGTCTTTGCCTTCCCCTTTAACCCCACTCACCTCAGGAGGGATATGGGAAATGGGGACATGATGCCTTTCTGGACGAAGGCTATCATAGAAGGAAGGTTGAACTTTCCTCTCCATCCCCTGTTGTTGGGAGTGTTAATTCAACTGAAGCTCTTTCTCCTTCAATGTGGGGTTAACTTCTTTAGGATTGTGATGGGCGTATTCGCCTTAAAAGCTCGGCTGGGGACCAACTTAGGAGTAGATGAAATTTTATTCTACTAAGACCTAATGTTAGTCGCCGGGGGAAGATACTACCTCCAGGCTTGAGACACCTCAAAGTATCTGGTAATTCACATGTCCGACTCGGACAAGGGGTATGTAGACGATCTGATCATGCTTGGCGGCAGTTGGGAGAAAGGGACAGGGCTAGAGTATGATGGATCGTACTGTCCCAAAGTGCTGAGGGATAAAGGTGTGTTTTCTTCTTGACTTGTATTGATTTTGCTATTCTTGGGCCCGAGGGATACACTGATTTTGCTTTGCTTTTGCAGAAAGATATCGTTGGGACGCTGCTCAACCATTGAGGTCCCAAGTCTGGTTTGCTGACCTGCTAAGGGTTCGGTCCTTAGACCTAGTTGAGCGAGTGGCGCATACCTTCCTCGGCTACACGCTGACTTACAACCGATTCTCCCAGATCCCACCTCCCTTCAACCCTTCTATTTAGGAAAATCATTCCTCGTCGGCAGAAAAAGAATCCGAGGGAGATTTTGAAGTAGAGTCCGATCATCCAGCTCCTGAGCCCTTTGCACCTGAAATATTTAATCCACCACTAGTCACCGTTGCTACAATGGAGGCCGCTGCCACAGCAAGGAGAGTCAGGCTCACCGGGTTGGCTAGGCCATCCAACACTGCCCCAATAATTCCACCACCAAGTTTTTCTCGGCGTCAACCACCCCTGTCGTCTCCACGTCCCCAACCATCCAGGGATCTGGCCGTGTCGACCAGGCAAAGGCCTTAATCCCAACAAGTCTCCGCTCTGGGGGATAGGCCGAAGGACCGACGGGCTCGAGATGCCGAACAATCTGAGGAGCACCGTGTGAAGTAGCGGCATGACGCCCCAGGCCCCTCTATCTCGGGCGAGTGGGTCCCTCAGGCCAAGATCAGGAGCGGCCACCCCATCCTAGAAGTCGCCACCCCATCCTGGAAGTCGACTCCATCCTCTAGTCCCCCGAAGTGGTCTTTGCCGTAGCGGGGATGTTTCAATTTGATGTCGATATGGCCGTATACAAAGGCTATTCAGACAATCGGCTTCTAATGAGTACTATCCAAAACAACTTGGTGGTAAGTCCAATGCTTTTTCGAGTATTCCTTGCACCCTTTTGGTCGTTCTCTAATAGTCCTCCTTTTTCAGGCCAGCCAGCAGATGGGGGCCATAATTGAGCATTTTTGGGAATACAAACAAGAGGCGAAGAACGCCGAGCGAGCCCTAGCTGCTAAGGACGACCATATCCTCAAAGTCGAGAGGACCCTCGGCGACTAGACCAAACACATCGTCGAGCTCATCTGCCATCGAGATGTCATTCATGCCGAGCTGGAAAAGATAGGTAGGTGAAGNCCTCAAAGTCGAGAGGACCCTCGGCGACTAGACCAAACACATCGTCGAGCTCATCTGCCATCGAGATGTCATTCATGCCGAGCTGGAAAAGACAGGTAGGTGAAGCTGCGATGATAAAGAAGGCTGAGGAATATGAGCTGTGAGTCTCCTCCTCCAAAGTCAAGCTGCAAGAGTCCAAGTTGGTAATCAATGAACGTACTACAAAAGTGGACTCCTTGACAGCAGAGAAAGCGGAGAAGCAGGAAAGGCTGTAGTCAGAATGTTAGAGGGTGTGGTTGGCCATTCAAGACCAAATGGTCCCTATTTTCGAGGAAGCCAAGAAGAAGACTTTCAAAGAAGGTTGGGATACTGCCCTTCATGCCTGCCACGTCGAGGTAGGCTCGGACTTGTTCNCAGAGAAAGCGGAGAAGCAGGAAAGGCTGTAGTCAGAATGTTAGAGGGTGTGGTTGGTCATTCAAGACCAAATGGTCCCTATTTTCGAGAAAGCCAAGAAGAAGACTTTCAAAGAAGGTTGGGATACTGCCCTTCATGCCTGCCACGTCGAGGTAGGCTCGGACTTGTTCGCCATGCACAACCTTTGAAGGGAGGCCAATGATGAAGCCCTGGACGAACAAGTCTGAGCCAACCCAGGTGACCAAGTTTAGGTAGAAAGGCCGGTCAAGGCCGAAGGTGGGAATGAACCCATCACACTTAACAATAGTTCTAACCAGTCTTCTCCTACCCTCTTGTCTTTGCCACCTGCCGAACTTACAGATGATCTTCCCTCTCCTCCATCCCCAATCATTACTGGAGTGCATGACACCGAGCTAAACGAGATTTTGGGGGGTTGGAAATACAAAGAAGGCGTGGAGGCCTCAGTGGGGGAGAAGCAGGGGAGACATAAGCCGAGGGTCGTCAGCAGCCGTTGATCTGGAAACTTCTATGTCCCGAGTTTGTTTTGCAACTTTGTACAGTTAACTTTTTGTATGCTTGGGGATGCAAAATCCCCTTTTTGACTGCAATGGAACTTCATTTTTCTGCAAGTGTTCTTTGTTTCTGCGTCATGTTCGTTTCAATGGAATGACCTTGATGTTATGTTGATAACGACCTTCTAGAGTAACAAGGCTTCACGTCGAATCTATGAGATTCCTAGTAAACGCGTTGAACTTATTTCTGGGTCTCTGTACCACTTGGGACCGAGTATACACATCCCTCTAGGCTGTGCCCTTACGACCGAGTGCGTGGCTTGTTAATAATTTGAAGGCATTGCTCTAAATGTGGAGTCTTGCATTTCTCAGGGCCGTATCCCTAACGATCGAGTGCATGGTTCGTGTTAATAATTTGAAGGCATTACTTCAAAGGTGGAGTCTTACATCCCTTGAGGTCGTATCCCTAATGACCGAGCATGTGACTCGTGTTAATAATTTAAAGGCACTGTTCCAAAAGTGGAGCCTTACATCCCTCGAGGCCGTACCCCTAACGACCGAATGTATGACTCGTGTTAATAATTTGAAGGCATTGCTCCAAAGGTGGAGTCTTACATCCCTCGGGGCCATACCCCTAACGACCGAGCGCGTGACTCGTTTTAATGCAACCATAAAGACAACTCTGCATCACTAATAGTATTTTTTTAAATTTGATACATTCCATGACCGGATTACATTGTCATCATTCATATGTTGTAATCGATATGCGCCTATGCCCCCCACAGAGACCACCTTATAAGGGTCCTCCCAATTAGGACCCAGTTTTCCATCAGTAGGGTCACGAGTATTGCCAC